TAGTCATCATCTCGCTTGGGCCGATAATGCGAGTGAAATTTGTTTGTGGCCGCAATCCGTTGCAGCGCTTTGTCAACCCTGCATAATCATTGTCAGTCATTTTCAACCCCATTCACTCACCTTGCACCCATCACTTTGTTGTACTCAACTAGGCGACCCTCCTAGTGACGCTACCTTCCAAATGAGTTTAGAGAACGATAAAGTGGCACTTCGTACACTTCTAGTTGCATGATGCATGCGAAAGAAAAGCGGGAGTAAATGAGAGGGACGAAAAAATAGGCTTAGGGAATGCCTATAAAATATGTATATGAATTGTGTCATGGGGGACTTAGCCACTCTCTACGCATCGTTCCAGGATGCATCATGTTGGACAATGAGAATTGAGGTCCAAAAAAGAAGGCATAAGATAAATGCACGGGTCAGGGTTGCATGTGCAAGCATAAAGAAGAAGCAAAGGTAGTAGCAAATAAAAATTGCAATCATAATTAAGGCACAAAACAAAAAAACAACAAGACGGATTCCGTGCGAAGGGAGAGACTAATGTGTAGTTATACGACAAGCAAAAAAAAAAAAATAGAGACTAAAAATTTTAAAGTTAAATTGAAGTCAATGCAGCCTAAAATACGATTAAAAAAAATAATGACTGTACACGTGTATTAAAGCGTGTACCATCTAAATTTCAAAAATAAAATGTCGTTTTTTCCAAGTTACCACGTAATATCATAATTTAACTACTTCCTCATTGACATATTTTTAACAAAGAAAAAATGATTGACATGTCACTCAATTTTTACACTCGTTAAACCATTAGTACCTCTGCCAATAATAAGAAAATAGAGAAAAGTGGCGGTTTTTCCAAACTCCTAAAAGTTTGGAGGTCGGGCCTGATGACGACTGTCATTAATAAATTTAATCAGTGACCGTCGTTTCCTTTCGGTCTCCTAAAGGATCGGAGGCCCACCCGAGGCCCGCTATTTTTTCATTCGACAAAGGTACTAGTGGTTTAAGGCACATGCTAATTGTATAATTTTATAAGAAAAAAAAAGTGACAGAATTATAAGTTGTGCAATTACCCTGTCCGGGATCCCCACTACATAACCTTGTTTATATTAAAAAATATAATGTTAAAAAAATGATGGGCAATTCGAGTATATAGCTCCTTAGTGACACCCATGCTCCTGTATAAAGTGCTATAACTGGGGAGAGAGAGCCATGTGTTGCAAACCCTGGATCGTCACATAGGTTCGTACTACGAGATAGTTAAATACACGAGGAACGAATGTCAGACTTGAATATGACATTGACACTACGTGCTTGGCAGTATGAGACCATGACCCATATGAGGTAGGCTTGATTGAGATCCCATAAGTGGTGGAAATGGTGGGTCAACCATTACGAAAGAATATAAGGACATAGTGACATCATAGGTAGAAAATGGTTATTTAGGGGATTCTTCCAGCTACGGTGCAAGGAGAGAAATGTTGGGGTTATATGGCGCAAGTGGGAAGGATGGTTAGAATGTGGGTCATTTGGCTCCACCGAAATGGCAGAAGGTTCCAAAATCAGGGATTGACGAGAAACAAACAGAGAATGCCTTCAAACTGCTTATGACGACAAGTTTTAGAGTTGCTTGGAAAAGAAGAGTACTGAATGGAAACATGGGAGTTAGCATGACATGGTTCACTGAAACATGGACCAAAGGAGGGTGGTTTGCCATGCGAGTTGCAGTAAAAAACATACCGGGTAGGGAGGGAAGGAGAGTGTCAGGCGGTCCAGGAATCTAGGGTTTCGATCGGTCGAAGGGGACCAGTTTTCAGATCGGAGGATAGGATAGGTAGTAGGTAGGTTAGTAAAGGAGTAGGAAGCGTAAGAGGTTAGGTGTGAATGTTATTGGAATTTTGTTGGCACGTCAAGCGAAACTGAGTAATGGTCTTGGTGGCTACTACAGGGTGAAATTGTGAGGTCCCTGGCCTCAAATTGTCTTGGTGGCCACTAAAGGGTGGAATTGTGAGGTCCCTGGCCTCAAATTGTCTTGGTATCCAGCGGCCTAACTCAGTTGGTAAGGCGCACAAGTGACATTCAGGAGGTCGTGGGTTCAATTCCCATTGGCCTCATGTACTTCTTGGGCATTCTTGGCGCCTGCCACCTAGAGATAGACCGTTGGATTCCCCGATTGGCATTGAGCAGACGTGTTGATGTTCGTAGGGGAGGGGACCTGAGGGGAGGCACAGGGATTGGTCTTGTTGGCATGGTCCCTGATGCTACCGGTTGTCCCTTAGCCGGTATCGCTCACCTGCAGGTCGGGAGCAACCCCGCATGTTCTCTCGTGAACAAGGTTCTGCTTGCTACAGGGTTCCCCGTATGCCTACAATTATGAGTAGTGGTAGGTAGGTAGTGTGAGGTGAAATTGAGAGAATAACATAAAATAAAAATAAATAAAATATACCTTTCTCGGTCTTTTGGCTAAGATCAAGTGTAGTTTTTGTTCTGATCAGTTTAATATCTGATATGTGGTCCATCGGACCACTATGATATTAAATTATTTTTTTTGGGCTACGGAGAGGTCATATGGGTAGGCTTGCCTGCTCGACCCCTCCAGCGTTGCCTCTGTATTGCACTGCAGTAGAGTGTGGCACAACCCTAAAAAAAAAAAAAATTAATAAAAACTAAAAGTAAAAATAAATAAATAAAATAAAATAAAATTTGTCTTGGTTGATAATGGATGTGGTTGCTTGTTTGATGCACCACCTACTTGTCCCAATATATTGGCCGTGCAGCAGGCCGTTGATGAAATTCATCAATAACAGCCCCAACCCCTGAAGGTCTTAGCGGCCCAGCTCGAAAAAGATAGCTGGGCCGAGTACTGGTGGTTTGAGAACAAAGAAAAGGGGGAAAAAAAATCGTTTATCAACAACAAGTGGGCCCGCCGCAGTGAAGTTGTGGCAAGAGTGAAGCGGTGTAATGAAGAGTTGGAGATGTGACCTTGGAGAGGACGAAGCAGAGCACACAGGCCAGGAATACATCTGCAAAGACCGGGCGTTCTATTGGGGTGAAGACGGTAGCAGTAGAGCTACGAATTTACAAACCTTTTTATTCTCTTTTAACTTAGTGAAGAGAAGATCGACGTTTCCGGTCATATAGATTCCGCAAAATGGCCATATATATATATATATATATATATATATATATATATATATATATATATATATATATATATGTACACCTGAACTACTGAATTCATCAGTGGCTTTTG